AGAAAAAATTATTTTCTACAATTTCATACTTTATTAAATGAATGATTCAACATAAAGTAAGACTGTAAGAGAGGACAAGGATGTTTCCTACACCTGGAAATATAAAGCTTAACGATTTCATTATATGATCTTTTATCTCCAACAAGTTAAATAATTCGATAAAATGTTTCAATAAATTTGATACTACTAAAATATATAATCAATGAATTCTAGAGTAAGACCTAACCATAATGCAAGGTAATCAAATAAAAGGAAGACAATTGAGCATCGATGTCATCCTTCTCTCCAACAATTCAAGATGGGCTCCATGGACGCAATTTGCAAAGCTTGGTCAGGCGAAACTACCACCAATTGTCGAATTCTCAGTTTGGTGATAGGTTGAGGGCGGAAGACCCCTCCATGCTCGACAAATTAATTAGTTTATGTTCACGTGCAACGCGCCTGCTCTATACTAGTTATGGGAAAAAACAACAGTTAATACCTGGACTTTGTTTTATATTTTTTTCCTATCAAGGGCAAGGGATATGTTGTTTCACTTCTATACATAAACTGATAAATAAGAGAACATAAAGAAAGTTAGATAACAAAATAATAGTTAATATATGCACTCACTACTGCTACTAGTTTAAGGTTGGTTAAATTTGAGTGGTGTCAGTGAAATGGGTCAAACCATCACATATCCATTTAGGAGTTGGACCATAAGGCCTTAAAAATAAAAATAAAAATTTTTCTTTAGACACGAGCTTCTCTTTTGGGTACATGTTTAGAAGTTCATTTTCCATTAACTGAGAATCACTTGCAGAGACGTAGAAAATTACGCAGAGTTGCTATTCCCAACAGCCAGGCACTTTCTCTACTTGGAAGAGACCTTCGTGAAGCTCACATGCAGCTTCTTTCAGGAATCGGTGGTTACCAATCAAACAACACTGCTGGATCAACTGCAGTTACTGATTCATTACTTTCATCATTTGTCTTAAATTTCCCAACATCAGAAGTTGAAGACCCATCAAAATCTACCATATTCTCTGCAGAACAATTTATCAGTAGCAGGACAACTCCTTTACCAACTTGGAAATCAAAGTAAAGATTCGACTTCTTTTCTCATCTTTGCTCATTTCCCTTTTCTTGATGTTAGTTTGCCGAATAATGATGCTTTTACTTCTTCACTGATGAACTTTAATGTTATTTAGTGCTAGATGTTATTAGTCCTTACTTTGGTGTTTAATGAATCTTTAATAAGAAAACTTGCAGTCTACTATCCTCAAAAAGGTCTTGAAAGCCAATAGAGCTCTGTTAGTACCTCCTGTTTTGTATGGAAGTCGTATGCTTGCAATATGAAAATCTGCTAGCTGACCCTATAACTTTTAGATACTCAACATCCACAGTTCTTGTAATGTGTCAGAGATTAATACTTTGTTGTTTTATCACTATAATCCTCACTTTCAGTCATTTGATCTATACGAAAAATCTGCTACTTGACAACATAAAATGTAGACAGCAGTATCTAGAATTTTAATTTTGACATAGGTTCTCCTCATTAGGTAGTCACTTTTAACATTTTTGAACTTTTTTCTGGAACAAAGGCCATAGCTGGAAGTATATGCGGCTTCCTGTAACTTACTCCTGACCTTTTACCACCTGAGGCTGGTTTATAGGCCTTGAGATTGTTACGCGTGTCATCTTGGTCATCTTTCTAATAGCAAACTGAGCGCCTTATGTAATGTCACATTAATCTCAAAACAAATAACAAAATATAATATGACTACTTAGATAGTGAGTTTATTAATCATGACATTTAGACAATTTGTAAATCATCTGTTTAGAAATCTTATTTACATTCATATAGTTTAGGGATTTTAGGAGTTTGTCTAGTTAGCTTAGGAAATTGTATTATCATCTCCGTTGTTGTTTGTTTGCATCTAGTGGACTTTTAGAGCCTATATTTCTGTTCCTGCATCCTTCACCATGTACATGATCCGTTTTCCTTTACTGAATTTTCCTTTTCATCTTATGCTTGTGAGATAAGTATTTTATAAGCCACTGAAGGTGGCATCTTCCAAATAGAGCTCTACGGTGCTAGGTAATAGGACTTAACATTGGGATTCATAAAGATATTTAATGAAAGCTTGAAGTCTCCTTTTTTTATATTACTTTTCTAAATTTAAAGCATCATAAGGCATTTATCAATGGCTACATTCACATGTCTGTGGACCACGGAGATGAAATTGTAAAAAGAGTATTTGTCTCTTTTCTAATGATCCTCTTACTGTTGCTATGTTAATTGATTGCTTAAAACTCGACTTTTGTGAAACATGTAAAACCCAGTCCTAAAGCATAATCATGAAACCGCTAGAGAAGAATAGGAGAAATTTTCAAAATAGACCCAATCCCAAATTTATTCCCCAAAATCAACTCTATCTAGTTTTATTTACAGAATTCGACCCAGTTTCGACCACGTCAGCATCGTGGCCAGAAACTGAGTCATTAAAAAAACAATCTCCTAATTTGTCAGGGTTTCCAACCCTGACTAACTAGGAGCACTTCTAATTGTCTGCGGGATTAGCAATCCGACTTAGGGGGTTAAGGGGCCAAAGTATTCGGGGTTGTGAACCCGACCAAAATGGTCGGGGTTGCGATCCCCGACCAATTAATCGGTAATCAAAGGGTGTTGTATATTGTATTGATAATTGAGAGGATTTTATGTGGAGATCTAGTAGATGCTGAGCTGCTGTTATTATAAGCTTACCCACTTTTAATATTTTTCTAATTTGTTAATCTGCATGAAATGATCTTGGGCTACACTGAAGCAACAGTGACATCAACACTGGTCGACACAAGTGGGTCTTTTCCACTGGTACTCCCACTTCCATTCACAATGCTGTCGATGGATGATGCCGCCAGCTTAGCCTGTTCTTGCTTCAATATAAGATCCTTGTGGCACTTGGAGCACATATTCTCATCCGTATGTGCATCCTTTTCATTAGGAACTGTATTAAGACCATTTTGGTCGGGGTTCGCAACCCCGCCCATTTTGGTCGGGGTTCACAACCCCGAATAGTTTGGCCCTTTAACCCCAAGTCGGGTTGCTAATCCTGCCGAGAATTAGAAAACTAATTAGGAGATCACTTTTTTTTAAACGACCCAGTTTCTGGCCACGATGCTGACGTGGTGGAAACTGGGTCGAATTCTGTAAATAAAATTGGATAAGGTCGATTTTTGGAATAAATTTGAGTTTGGGTCTATTTTGAAATTTTCTTGAAGAAGAATAAGGTGTTTGTGGTGAACAGAGAAGTTTAGAGAATGCACTGTATCATATGTCTCAGCAAAATGGAGCAACAAAAAGAAGAAACTGCAAATTGATGAACTGGTTCATTGCATGATTTGCGAAGGTCATGCAGATGGATATTGTTCAGTCCTTATGTGTGAACATGTCCTTCTGCATGCAGTCAGTTATCCAGGTATATAAGTTTTGTAAAATTTTGCTGGTTGTCTGCTTCTTCTATTACCGTCATCTTGGTAATAATGATTTTCTGTCAACACTTAGATTTAGGAGGGTCTAAAAACATACTTGATTCTTTGCTAGCCTATATAGGTCAGCTACTATGCTGGCATAAGAGATGGATGGTGAGTAGAAGTCCCCCCCTCCCTTTTAAGAAAAAAGAAATCAATTGGAGATGTGAGGTCTAGTTGAATCCATGTTGCAAAACTAATTTCCTAATCTACTACCAGTTGTTTCTATAAACATCCAAAGGTGGTTGTTTCTGAATGTAGATAGCTCGCATGTATGCAAATATCTATTCTTAAAAGATGTATACTACGTTGCTACTTATCTTTAAAGAATGCATTTATACCAAGAGGCAGTCAAAATTTTGTATGAAATAATGAAATAATTTATTTCCACCAAAGCATATATCATCTGTTCTTGGAGGCTTAACAGAGTATATAGATACTTGCTTTCCCAGTCCTACACCTTGTGATTAAACAGACATGCATTATTTCTTATCCATTTTTTGAGCTTTTTTTCTGCTTGTGGTGGAAGTGTACTGGAGCATAACCTCTGTGTTTCCTCTATTGGTATTTTCATAGTGGATTATATATCCTGTTTTATGCTTTATAAATTTTGTTACATCTGTTGGGTCTACAGGTTGCTTGTCCTGTGTAAAAACTGATTACTAGAGGATACTTTTTGTTACTGCAGGTTTGTTGTCTGACTTTGAGAAGAAAACTAATTTCAATCAATAAAATGTGTAGCTGATCAGGATGTCTGTTCTTGTGTACTGGACATAACTGACGTGATAATAAAGTGTTCGCTCTGAAAAATGATTGTTATTAGCATCTGATTGAAGTTTGATACTATCTAGTTTTATGTCACTATCTTTCGTGTTTAGAAACTGCCGGAAGTGTTTTGTCATTTACATGTTTCTATGTGCAATTCCTACTACATTAAGATTATACATGGCTTTAATCATATCCTGAATATACATCTTTTGGCAGTCTCAATCTTTCTCTGAGTCGCGAGGAGAGGGAGCGAAAGCAGAAGCAGGTTATGTTCACTCAAGACCTGCTTCTCTCCACTTTGTTTGGGGATTAACTGAAGCAGTGAACAAATAGGCTCTATTGGCACATGAAGGCATTATTTATTGCTTCGAGTTGCGTCGACAGTGCATCAAATTCTTGATAAATGATTTTCCGCTGAATCTAAAAGTTGCAGTATACAGTCCAGGAGCCTTAATGCTGCATGTTTATGGGACAATCCTGAGGGTGCCTCTGTTCTTATGTATTGAGGCAGTGATGGATGACGTCTCTTTCAACTGAATTCAACTCTTGTCTATGCGATAACAGTTTTTACATTCCAAAACTTTATTTTTATGAAGTGATTATATGGCTTGATGAGCTTAATAGATCTTGTTTGTTGCAAACTGAAAATCAACCAGAGGGGAAAAAAATAGATTTTATGTATTTATTACTTGTAAATTGGGTGTCGGGGGCAATTTTGATATTATTTTCTTGGTATTAGAATTTTGATATTTTATTTCTGATCTCTTACTTTCCCTGTGAAAGTGATAGTATAAAAATGTTCAATTATCGGTGGTAAATTTTTTACAGTCATGGCTCGGTCTTTTACTCGTTACTGCCCCCCACCCCAATTCATGGAACCTAAAAAAAAAGAAAACATAGCTGAACGTTGCTGCGTATTTTAAAAAAAAGGCTATATATGGATAAATTTTCAAAACCAACCCTTTTCACTATTTATTTTTAAAAAACGATTGTTTTTGCAAAAATTTTCAAAAGTCGACTTGGTTTTAGTCCTGGAGCTAAAACCAGATCGGTTTTTAAAAAATTTTATCCGAAACTTCACGGGAGTTGAACTCCCGTGAAGTTTCGTAGTTCAATTTTTTTTTTTGAACTGCTAAACTTCACGGGAGTTCAACTCCCGTGAAGACTCCCGTGAAGTTTTGAACCCCCGTGAAAACTCCCGTGAAGTTTAGTAGTTTTACTAAACTTCACGGGAGTTCAACTCCCGTGAAGTTTCCGAAGTTTTTTTTCCTAAAAACCGAACTGGTTTCAAACCAGCGCCAAGGCTGAAACCAGGTCGGTTTTTACAATTAAGTTTGAAAGGGGTTATTTTCTGGGATTAAATTTCCAAATAGGTTGGCTTTGAAAATTTGTCCGGCTAAATATTAGAAAACCTCCCTTAACTTTTGTATATAGTTTACTAAAACTGACGTAAATATGAAGCATCAGAGCTCGTAAGTGAAACCAAGGAGGGTACATAGTCTTTCTTTCTTGAGGCCGTAAAATTTAGATTCCATTAATGAAAATAGAATGTATATAGTTTGCTAAAGAGGCTTTTGTCGATCTTTATTGAATCTAGAGTTCAAGTGTCTGATGCATTCCATTGGATTAGTTTGTTTCCAATTTAATAAAGACTCAAGCCAAAAGCCGTATGCGCACACAGCAATTGTTTATGTGCCACCGCCGCCTGTAACTTCATTTCACACACACACACACACAAAGTGTGAGATCAATTTTGATCAAAGTTCGAAGTCCTGAACCTGATCCAATTTTGAGTGTTTTTCTGTTTGGCAAAAAACTAGGTCAATGTTGGCCCAATTTTAATAAGCCAAAAAAGCCTCCTAAATTGATTTTACTTTGGACCAACCCTTCACTAGTCCAAACTAAAAGCGGTTTAGACTGAAACTGGACCAAGACTAAGCTTGTCCCACTTTTTAACATTTTTCCAAACACACTCACTGTTTAGCAACTTCCCTACTTGAAGTTGAAGCAATCAAATTTTAGCCTGATCTAATTTTGACTAAGAGTCAGACCACAAATGATCTAATGGAGGTGTTAGTCTAAAAAAAAATCAGATTATGTCCGATTCGAAAAAGTTTTAGTAGAAGGAGAATGAAGGGCCACAAAATTGGGACAAACTAAAACTCGAATCAAATGAAAAATAGCCAATGTTTGCTCTTAACCAGTTTAAAAACAAGTTTAACTCAAAATTAATTCTATAAAAAGAAGCTTATACTTATCGAGACGAGGTATAACAAGACTATTATTAATAGTTTAATTTACAAATCGCCAAACTGACCCTTAGAATAGTGATTTTTCAACCTTGGTCCCATAAACTAGACGATACTTTGTCTACAGGGCAGACATCCCATTTTGTTATTATTTTGTGTCTTTCTTTCTATTTATTATGGGTCCTCTTATGGGAGCATAATAATTAAACACCTGGATCCTTTTTAGCCCATAATGACATCATTGATCATTCAACGTGGAAATAAAAAGCCAAAAGTTGTGGACAAACATCTGTGAACCAAATCTCAACCTATTATGTGATAAAACAATAACGTTTGTTTTTCGTCCCCGGACTGCAGGGTATTATATTCCTCAGATTATAATATTGGGATGACATTATCCTGAGACTATTTTAGTCCAATCTAATATTTATTTTAGCACGGATTAACATTCAAACTAACTTAAAATAGTCTAAATTGGTGTTTGTTTTTAAGAGGATTATGACCGTTCGGATTATATAATAACTAAAATGATATTTTTACCCTCAAATCAAAGAATACCGTATTAATACATCTGTTTGGGAAAAGAATTAAATTTTAGGCTTAATCTTATCTAGAAAGTCAAAATATACTTGAATAATTTAAAAAATGTTACAATATATATTTCCTTATTATTATTTAGCGTGAAACAATAAAAAAGATATTGTCCATTAGATTATTGTTAGTAGCATTGTTGACCATATCATATATTATTTAAAAATAATTTCTAGCAGGAGGGGGAGGACATATATCATACTCTCTTTAAAAGAGGGAGTTGTGAAAAAACTTTTCATGGACTATATTGTTCATATTCTTTTTTGATATTATATTCTAATCATAAATTAACTAAATTTAATTATCATTATTAATTAATCATATTACATGCCACTTCAATTTTGTCAACTTGGCCCTAACACTTCTAATATTATTGTAAAACTCTCATATTAATTATTAATAATGCATAATACTATATTAATAGACAATTGCAAGTTAATAAATTATTTTGGAAGGAGTAAAAAAATATAGAATTGTCCTAAAATTATACCATTGTACTCACATAGGAAAATTATGAAGAATATTCTTGTGTATATAAGCACAAACATGCAATTTTGGAAAACATTAGGATATTTAAGTGCATTAAGATATAAGTGGATGTATATGAGTGTAACTATCGTAAGTTGTAAGGTATTTAAGTTTAATTAAGCCTATAAAGATTTGAAGCCTTTGTTAACCACAAGCAATAGTAAGTGATCCCTTTGATAAATATTATTCATCGTATAATATTAGGCCAGAGACCTAGCTTATATTTATATAGTATAGAAGATGTGGAAAAATTTAAGCATCATATTTTGAATAATCTCAAGTTTCCTATTCTTTTTTTTATATTATATTCTAATCATAAATTAATTATAATTATTAATTAATCATATTACATGTGTTATGGTGATCTCATTTCATCAAATTGCAACTCAGTGCCAAGCAATAGATAAGTGTACTCTTGCATGCTATGCCCCAATTGACTTGGCGGTCGAAGACCAATAGGGACGACAACTCAGCCAACCTGTCGAGTTGACATCCCTCCATGTCGACTCAAAAGACGGTACTCTTCACCCCCTTTGTTGAAGACAGACTCGCAACGAGCCCAGTTAACCAACTACTTGACGCCTCACCAAGACGACTCGAAAGGCGTTACTTATCGGCGAAGCTAGAGGACTATTCTCTCCTCGAGCCTATCCTCACTGGCAACGTGTTAACATCACATTTAATGCATGTCAGACGCATTATGCCCCTAGTCCCAATAGTCATCATGACTCATCGGACCATATGGACACTGTCATGCTGCCCATCACTTCCGGTTTAATGCTGAAGTGATCTTTCCTCCACTCGCCAGCCGACACCTATAAAGCAGGTGCTGACACAGCTGCCAGCCCACATTTTGCCATCGCCTCTAAGTACTCAGTTGAAATAACCAATCTACCCTTATACCCTAGGTATAAATACATGTACTATTTCAACTTAGGGGAGATCTGGGGATCTAGGGATGGAATTTTGGATTCTAAAGGAGATCTCAATTTACAAATCTGATCCAAAAATAATCAAGCTGCACACAAGAATTACCACAGTTCTTATTTACCCCACTCAAGTTCATCAGCTAACTTGATTGTCTGAGGTACAACAGGGGAACCAAACTCCATCCTCTTACAAACTTCTGCTTGTGCAGATTCGTCTACCTTGTTCAAAGAACCAGACATAAAGTCAGAGAATAAAGCGGTCTCATCATCAATCCTCAACAATCTCATCCAAACACGGATATCTACTAACTGTGTGATAACTTAACATCAACAACATGCCACTTCAATTTTGTCTAACTTGGCCCTAAAGCTTCCGATGTTATTATGAAACTCTCATATTAATTATTAATAATACATGATACTATATTAATAGATAATTGCAAGTTAATAAATTATTTTGGAAGGAGTAGAAAATATAGAATTATCCTAAAATTATATCATGACACTCATATAGGAAAATTATAAAGAGTAATCTTGCGTACATAAGTACAAACATGTAATTTTAGAAAATATTAGGATACTCAAGTGCAATTAGATATTAGTAGAGGTATATGAGTGTAACTTTTGTAAGCTGTAAGGTATTTAAGCTTAATTAAGCTTATAAAATTTTGAAGCCTTTGTAAACCACAAGCAATATCATGTGATCCCTTTGATAAATAATATTAATCATATAATATGAGGCTAGAGGCTTAGCTTATATTTATATAGTATAGAAAATGTGGAAAATTTTAAGCATCATATTTTAAATAAGTCTCAAGATTTTGAATTATAAATAAAATTATATACTTCTCTTAGAATCATACTCCCTTTAAAAGAGGAAGTTGTAGAAAAAATTTCTATGGACTATACTACCCCTATTTTTTAAATATTATATTTTAATCCTAACTAAAATAATTAATTATTATTGTTAACTAATCATATTATATACCACTTAAAGTTTGTCTAACTTGTCCCTAAAACTTCAAATGTTATTGTAAAACTCTCATATTAATTATTAGTAATGTCTTATAATATATTAATATACAATTGCATGTTAATAAATTATTAATAAAAGAGTAGAAAATATAGAATTATCCTAAAATTATACCATTATATTCATATAGGAAAATTACAAATAGTATTCTTGCATACAGAAGGTACATACATGAAATTTTTAAAAATATTAGGATGTTTAAGTGCAGCAAGATACTAGTGGAGGTATGTAATTGAAACTTTTATAAACTATAAGGTATTTAATTTAATTAAGCCAATACAAATTTAAATCCTTTTTTAACCACAAGCAATAGTAATTTAATTAAGCCAATACAAATTAAAGCTTTTTTTTTAACCACAAGCAATAGTATGTGATCCCTTTGAGGGTTA